TTCAAAAATAAATAATAGTTTAAAAAAATACGCTTTTACAGAAAATTCAACTAAAAATAGAAAATAAATTTAAATAAATTTGAATTAAAAACAGTGTAAGAAAAAATTATTTTATTGTAAAAACGCGTGGGGTGCTTTTCAGGATATTATCAAAATAACCCTTCTACTCAAATCTGTTCCAACCGAAACGCATTACTGCTTCACGGCAGAAATAGGCCAGTGGTGGTACCTACTCATGTGGACTCACAAGAGGTCCTACCACCAGTAATTAAATTCTCCTTTTTGTTTTAGTATTATTTAGTATCTCTGTATCCAGTGTGATCTGTACAGGCTTTCACATTTTAAAGTGAAAAGGCGGCAGCTCCTTTGTGCTATACAACGGGGTTTCCTTTCCAATAAACCCACGGCGTGATGCCTTTATATTTATTATAAGTTGACTACTGCTGTTTCGTCACCCCCTCCCGTAAACGTCCCACTCGAAGATAATAGTTGGAATTAGTTCAGAAATAAACGTCAGCTTGTATTTTATGTTATTGTAAGCATACTTGTTGATGTATGTGAGGGTTGTCACGGAATAATTAATAAAAACAAAGATCGAGATTTTTTGGCGGGAACGCGAGGAGTGAAGTTGTGTGATTTGTTTTATTTTGTCTATTTGGTGTTTCTTCAGGTTTAAATGTGTAATAACGGTGGTTTATTAACTGTTTAATATCTGCGAAAGTGCACAAATGTGGGAAAATGAAACAAAGTCACTTCTCGGGATCCTCCAAAAAGTCCAACGAAAAAGTCTCAGTAAATGACCACCATTTTACTGAGATTACATTTCATCCCATATCATCTCATCTCATTTCATTTGATTTCATCCCAGTTGATTAATGTCTCGAATTAATCATCTTCATTTCATTTCATCATTTTCATAAAAATAAGAGTATAAATTAAAATAAGACATGACTTAAAGGTCTTAGTTACCAGGTCATAAAATACCTATAAAAAAATAAAACAAACACCCGGTATGGGTGATCGTTAGACTGCGTCAGACAAAATTGTTTCTTCGTTTGTTACAAATGAAGTCGTCGTGGCCTAAAAGATAAGACGTCCGGTGGATTCGTATCTAGCGATGCACCGGTGTTCGAATCCCGCAGGCGGGTACCAATTTTTCTAATGAAATACGTACTTAACAAATGTTCACGATTGATTTCCACGGTGAAGGAATAACATCGTGTAATAAAAATCAAACCCGCAAAAATTATAATTTGCGTAATTACTCGTGGTAGGACATCTTCTGAATCCGCACGGCTTGGTACCACCACCCTGCTTATTTCTTCCGTCAAGAAGTAATGCGTTTCGGTTTGAAGGGTGGGGCAGCCGTTGTAACTGTACTGAGACCTTAGAACTCATATCTCAAGGTGGGTGGTGGCGTGTACGTTGTAGATGTCTATGGGCTCCGGTAACCGTGACCTCGTCCACCCATCTAAGCTATAAAAAAGAAGAGAAAGCTACTTATTGAAAAGTTTTAGTGCTATATAGTGTTAAAATATTTTCTAATTCCAAAATTTTCTATAAAATGAAGGCGACACAGAAGAGAAAATTTATAACATAAAACGAATCTAAGCCTTGAGGCATCAGCGATTACGGTCGGATTTCGATCATCGAACGCACACACTAGATTAAAGAATAACGAAAAGAGCTTATAATTTCACACACAAACAAACAAAAACATTTTCGTCTGCTATATCTATACAAAAACGTAATCTCTTAACAGTATTGACAAAGATCGTTATCTGAAAACCGAGGCAAAGGGCCGCCCTTTCACTGAAATATGAATTATCTGCGGCGTCCATTAGCGAGATTAACGTTTTCTAGATTAGAAACTAAAGCTAAAAGTTACACGTAAATCTTACGGGTTTTTGTTGGTAAATGTTCACTCTTCTTGCGTGTTTCTATCGCATTGATAGAAAACTTAGTGATAGTTTTCATGGATTAGACACGATTGACTTTTTTCCCTACTTATACTGATAGCCTTGAGAGGCTATTTCAGCTTTACCCTAGCATGTAGGTGAGCTCTTGGGGCTCAAGCCGGAGATGTTGCTAACAGTGGCCCTAGCAAGAGCAGTGCTTCGTAGAATCTACCACCGGATCGGAAACGCGACCCCCTGAGAAGATCCGGCGAGAAACTCAGTGGGCTGTGTCTATGGGTTCATTTACTAATCGAGCCCTTCGTCACAAGCAACGGGTTCAGCGAGAAAAGTGACCAGTGCTTGTAGTGCCTAAAAGCACCGTTAGTGGATCGAGAGGATCCGTAATGACGTGCTTAGGGCGACGTCGACTGTTTACCATTCGGTCCACAAGATCGGGTATCCATTGATTGACTTTAATCTCTTTTAGGGTGATTGGACGTATCCAGTAGCAATTAAACAAGTGTAAGTCGTGAGCACGTTCATCTATCCTTTGCTATACAAAAAAAAACACGTGTAGAACTCGAGGACTGCCGCAGTAAAGCTATTGCATAGCATTTTTTTTATTAACTTATGCAATTATAATTAGACAATAATAATTTAATATTAAAACAATAATAAAATAAGACCACGCTATATTTATAAACTTTAACAAAAGCAAAACATTAACTGTCCCCTTCACACTCATAACCTAGACCGCGCGAGAGAGAGAGATGGGCAGACTTTTCATAATGCGCATGCAGAGCGACGTCACGCTGCGCGCTTATTCACAAACACTACACAAGCGCAACGTGTGAATATCTTGAACGCGAGTTACACGGTAGGCGGACTAGGGGGTGTTAGGTTTTATTTTCGTTACGGAATTTCTTGATTCGGTCGTCGCGCTCAAAGTCCGCCGATAAAAGCTATGCAATATCTTAAAAACGCAAACTAGAAATTAAACATAAAACAAGTCGAATAAATCGAAATATCAATAACTGGTTAAGGTAATAATGGATTTTATGACTAAATAAAAGTTATTGTTGCATTTTGCAAGATACGCAATTTTGATTGCACGAGAATATTCCCATCGCGAATACGTGTTAAATGATAATGTTTCTTACAAAGATAGTACTTCGTTTGTACATATCTCCGCAGATTTGAATGCACCGTTGCGAATTCTTCTCAAAATTCACACGTGAACGATCACGAGTTGTCATAATAACAGATTCTCGAAGACTTATTGCCACTGTTTCTCAAAGTTTAAATGATTAAAAGAATAGTAATATGTCCGAGTGAGGCGCGTTACGGAGGCTCAATAAATCCAAGCACATTAAACTTAATATTTCACGGAACAGAAACACTCAAATTGTAAATTATAAGCTAGTGAGGCGAACGATTTGTCGATGATACGTTGCTATGTTTTTTTGTTTTTTTTTTGTTTTTTTTTTATTGCCCTGTAGGCAGACGAGCATACGGCCCACCTGATGGTGAGTGGTTACCGTCGTCCATGGACTTCAGCAATGCCAGGGGCAGAGCCAAGCCGCTGCCTACCGTAAACCTTAGCGATCCCTAAGGACATTCTTCTTGTACATGACATTTGACAGTGCAGGAAGGCTAGATAAAATGCATTATATGTACTAGCCTTAAAATCCTTGCAGAAAAGCACACAAACGTATGGAATTGACGTAGTCTAAACGGAAAGTTACGTGGTCTAGCCAGTACTGGGTAGCAGCGAGCAGAAATCTGACTAATATTTTGTGACCCTACAAAAATCATCCGAAATGTCTAGTATTTTTAATCATCTAACGCATTGCAGTCAAAATAGGTAAGACTCAACAAAATCTCCATTGGTCTTCGTTGGTACTTAATTTGAAATTATTAAGAGATTGAAAACATAGAAATGCTGTTGATTGTGTGAGCAGAAACGTCGACTGTGTCCCGGCCTTTTCCATTCAATAACCGTAAAATTCCAAGTGTCCTCCATGAATAACTGAAGTGAGGGTATTTCAGAATTATGACGTCATCGCTCGACGGACCAACGGCCGCTGGTCGTGGCACAGAGTATGAACACAATTTAGAAGTTTTAAAATTTCGGATTTTTGCTGGAGACAAGCCTTTCGTATATGATTAGCTTCACTCGAGGCCAATGCTCCACAGGCCGCTAGTTACCGCTAAGAATTATTATTATCAAAGTTTGGCCCTTGATCGAAGAAGATCGATGCCACAGCGCTGAGAAACAACGAGAAGGCGAATTCATTCTAGAACACATGACACGACAAATTAATCTCCGGATGATTTTTTGTAGGTATCGGTTTGTATTGTAAATAATAGAGGTGTAAGGTCAGAAAGATCACTTGAACGGTCGATTCGTACTTTTGCCGCCTATTTTATGTATATACTAGCTGTACCCGTCCGCTTTGCTGGGCATTTAAAATTAACATTATTATTTCTCACTCCCACAAAGATTCTCATCATTAACGCCCCTGCAACTGATATAGGGAGTCCAACACTCATATAAATATTAGCCTTTCCATTGGGTACATGTATTTTCTACATGGATACCAAGTTTCAAGTCAAACGGATGCATGGTTCAGTAGTTATAACGGAACATCCGTAAAAACCACTGTAGATTTATATATGAGTATAGATGAGAACGGTCAATTCGTTCCTTGTCGTCTGGTTCGTGTCCGTCTTTTAGGAAGTCAAAAAAAGTACTGCCTGCTGCTAGTCACGTACGTCCTCGTTCCAATTCTCTCTTTATTTTTGAATTCTTGTCAAGTGTCTGTCTTAGTCTGTGTCTAGTCGTTGTAGGTCTTATGTCCTGTCAAAGAGATTGCACGCCACGACAAGAGGATAATAGAGATAATAGAAGCGATGTTCGCGCCGACGTTTGTGTCATCCGTATTTCAAAAAACAAACTACAGATCGTTCACCGTAAGTTGTCCCTTGCCGTGATGTTGGCACTATTACTTGTCATTGTTGTCAATCTGTTGTTGTCAGATTGTCTGTTGTAACGTGTGCATTTAGTTTTTGTGTTAATATTTGATATCCTTCAAATTAATCATGCCAAAGCCATTTAAAAGCAGTGCAAGAGAGATTGTGTTGAAGGCAAACCAAGCCCCGTTAATTAGACTCGATCAAGTGCGAGCACGAGTCGCCGCTATGACAGGTTAGTAAAATGGGGATACAAGCTTCAGACACAATGCCTTTAGTATGGGTAATAAGAATTTACTGACATAAAGAATTAAAATAAAAAAGTACACATCTCAGTGAATTTAATTTATTTCGATAATATGGTCATTACTTGAGTTTATATAAATATTAAATTTTATAAAAGGATACAAATTTTATGTGTCTATTTCAGGCATGTCGGAAAAAACCGTGAGTAGAATAACTAAAGAAGGTGAAGTTGCTGCCTCTACGTCTCAAAAACTCAAGTCACCTGGAAAACACCGTCAAAAACGTAAAACGGTGGATCTTGATGATTTCGATTTATGCGCATTAAGAAATAAAATCCATGAAATGTATACTGTCAGAAAAGTTGTTCCTACCTTGAATAAATTACTTATTGAATTAAGGAATGATATAAACTTTGGTGGAGGTCGAACGACTTTGTGGAAAATTTTAAAACGAATCGGATTTCAATACAAAAAGTGTGGTTCGAAGCGGAAAATTTTAATGGAAAGACACGACATAGTTGCATGGAGACGCAAGTATATCGATACTATGAGGCAAAACCGTGTAGAAGGTCGGCCAATAGTTTTTTTAGATGAAACATACATTCACGCATCATATGCAATGAAAAAGTGTTGGCAAAAAAGTGACGAGGACGGAGTACTCACAAGTGATTCTCCTGGAACGCGATGGATTATTGTTAATGCAGGTGGAGAAATGGGGTTCATTTCTAATGCTCAATTGATTTTTAAATCACAGAGTAAATCAGGGGACTACCATGACGATATGAATAGAACAAATTTTGTGAAATGGCTTTCAGAGAAACTTATACCCAATTTGCCTCCAAACTCGTTAGTCGTCATGGATAATGCTCCCTATCATACAGTACAAGTAAATAAAGCACCTACTATGAGTTCCTCAAAACTACAAATGCAAGAATGGATTACAAATAAGGAATTGTCTTATTTACCGACAATGTTGAAAGCAGAGCTTTATCAAATTATAAAAGAGCACAAAGAAGCACCCATTTATGAGGCTGACCGATTATTAATAAGTCATGGCCATAAAGTAGTTAGGTTGCCCCCCTATCACTGTGACTTAAATGCTATTGAGTTTATGTGGAGTCTTTTAAAGAGACGAGTAGCTAGCAATAATGTCGGCCAAGAAGCTGGTAATATCGTGAAGTTGACTGAAGAAGCTTTTTCATCGATAACTCCTCAGGATTGGCAAAAACAGTGTGAGCACGTAAAACATTTAGAAGACAAATTTTATGAACGTGATGGCTGCATGGATAATATTACGGATAAATTCATAATTGAACTAGGAAACGACAGCAGCACAGATTCGGATACGTCAGACGACGCTTATGCAAGTGACAGTGATATGTCTGGAATGGTTTCTTTCGACCATAATTACTGTCAGTAAAAATGCAATAAATAAATAATTTCAAATTTAAATTGTGTCATAATTTACAACCTTCCTAGTCTTTTAGCTGTATATTATCAAGACATATAATAAAAATAAGCCAGGTCGATATCTGTACTTTGAAGATATTGAAGAAAAACTAATATAGGGGGTCTTTATTAGAGCAACAGAAACCAAAACAATAATTACACACAAGATAATGGGGGGTAAAAGGTACATATATTGTTTGCAACACCGTTGGCACTGCTACCAACTCNTTTATCTAATTTAACTTTTTTGTATTCATGTCTATGATAATAAAATCCTTTTGTTTAAACTTTATCTAATTTAACTTTATTTAACCAATTTCTAGAAAGTTGCATGTAGATCATTTTTCGAAAAATAAGGCCATAAACAAGTTTCACTTCTTACGTGTGTACACTAGTACACGCACACATTTTTTTTTATTGCTTAGATGGGTGGACGAGGTGGTTACTGGAGCCCATAGACATCTTTGACGTAAATGCGCGACCCACCTTGAGATATCAGTTCTAAGGTCTCAGTATAGTTACAACGGCTACCCCACCCTTCAAACCGAAATGCATTACTGCTTCACAATAGAAATAGGCAGGGTGATGGTACCTACCCGTGCGGACTCACAAGACGTCCTACCAGGCAGTATAGGTTCCAGTAACCACTGAACACTGCGTAGACCAAGAGCTTATCTGCTCGTGTGCAGGAATAAATAAATGTATGTTCCGTCTATTTCTATTGTTAATCTGTGACGCCTAGGTATTTGCGCTTGGTTTGCACTCTGAAAGGGGCCAGCCGGAAAATCCTTTGATACGCCGCGTGTTCTTGTCGGAAAACCATGATTGGTTATCGGATTCAATATTTATTTAACCTTTATATATTATTATTTATTTATTTATTTTATTATTTAAAACATTTATTCAGACGCAAAAAGGATATTTACAAATATAAACTTAAGCTACGACTGTACTGAGTCAATGACATTGACAACTTTATCTGTTTGCTCAACTTCAGCAAGGGCCCCCTCCATTCCTTTCCACCCCACTCGGCTTAGAGCTTGCCTTGTCCATAGTTATCCTGCTATCGTCTTTATCTCATCTTCCCACCTTTGAATCTGTCTCCCTCGATTCCATTTTCTATCTCTAGGGTACCAAAACACTATGTTTTTGTTCAATTTTTCGATATATCTTATTCTATGTCCTATCTATTGTGCCAGTTTAGTTTCCGTATTTGAACCTTGAAACATTTTGTATCTTACTGGTGGTAGGACCTCTTGTGAGTCCACGCGGATAGGTATCACCACCTAATCTATTTCTTACGTGAAGCAGTAATGCGTTTCGGTTTAAAGGGTGGGGCAGCCGTTGTAACTATACTGAAACCGTAGAACTTATATCTCAAGGTGGGTGGCGCATTTACGTTGTAGATGTCTGTGGGCTCCAGTAAGCACTTAACACCAGGTGGGCTGTGACCTCGTCCACCCACCTAAGCAATAAAAAAGAAGAAGATCTTTAATGACTAACATTTATTAACAACTAACAAATTCCCGGCCAAACTTTCTTGTTGTCAGTCGATGTATTTGGTGAACTGGTAACACGCCACGCACTTTACATTGATGATATTAAGCCAAAAAGCTCTGTGTATTGCCAACAAGAACTGGTATTTGCTCTAAAAGGACATAATATTACAGACGTTATTACAGTGAAGATTAGCTTGACGCCTGCGGTAAGATGACGCGATTCATGCCCACATGTCGCCATGGCTTAAAGGATAAGACTCCCGGAATACTCTGATCATACGATGTGATTATACTAGTTTCTAATTCAAAGGACAGGTGACAAATTTTCTCAGGAAATAATTAAATCATGCGTGGTTAATCTTACGGCCCACCCGGCGTTAAGCGATTACCGGAGCCCATGGACATATACAATGTAAGTGCCGCCATCTACCTTGAGATATAAGTTGTAAGGTCTCAATATAGTTACAACGGCTGTCCCGCCCTTCAAACCGAAACGCATTACTGCTTCACGGCAGAAATAGGTAGGGCAGTGGTACCTACCCGTGCAGACTCACAAGAGATCTTACCACCAGTAGTAATATAATAATAAGCATTTGACCCATCAATTATCGAAGAAAACCACATTACCTCGAACAGAAATCCCCAAAAACAAGATTATCAGAAGCTCGACATCAGTGGGCCCGTCAATCGCAACGCACTAATTGCCGAACGATGAAAAACATCTTCTGAGCCGTTGACCAATAAATCGTTGAATTAAGAAAGCATTTTACACCTCACGACACGAGCAGTTACAGACATAGATTTACTGGTGGTGGGACCTCTTATAGGTAGGTGGTAGGCATGTGGCAGAGATGCGAATGTTGAGATGGATGTATGGAGTAACAAGAATGGACAAGATAAAGAATGAGTATATCAGAGGAATTTTGTAAGTAGCCCCAGTAATCAACAAATTAAAGAGCGGACGGTTACCGTGGTATGGACATGTGATGCATAGAGAGGAGATGCATGTGACTAGGAGATGTATGGAAATGGTAGTGCAAGGTAGAGGGGGAAGAGGTCGACCAAAGAAGACATGGATGGAGTCTGTGAATGACGATATGAGAAAGAAAGGAGTGAATGTTGAGATGACGGCTGATAGAAGAGAATGGAAGAGAAAATTTTACTGTGCCGACCCCACTTAGTGGGATAAGGTGGAGAAAAAAAGAAGAGGACCTCTTGTTAGTCCGCAGACCTTAGAACTGTGAGACCTTAGAACTTATGCCTCAATGTGGGTGGCGCATTTACGTTGTAGACGTCTATGGGCTCCAGCTACCACTTAACACCAGGTGGGCTGTGAGCTCGTCCACCCAGCTAAGCAATAAAAAAAACATAGGTCCGATTTACATCTGATACGCTATGACCCTGGCATTGGTGAAGTCCAGGATGGACGGTCACCGCTGACTATCAGGTGGACCGTATAATCACTCCAAGTACCACGTACACACCTGCGCCTTCCAAAAAAACTCAGCTTTTAGATTTATACTGTTACACCGGTAAGAGTATCGTTATCGGTCGCCGAATAGTCGAACAAATATCGGAGGATCTAGTAGCACATAGAACGCTCGAGAAGTACAACGCCATCTATTGTCAGATAGCGGAAACAATACTAGAGATGTGTGGAATATTCTCGACAGTTCTAGGGATGAGGTATCGGCTATAAAAGCGTTGTAGGGACGGAACGCAATCAATCAGTAATCGGAACTACTCAAAGCGAAACAGCGAACAGATCATCTGAAGCGAAGCGGAAGAAGCGAATTAAGAATTTTAAAGTGAAGTGTTTAAGTGTTTTAAGTGTTGAATACAGTTTTAAGTTGTACTTTGGTGAAATTTTATTTATCCCGAACCACATCGCGTACAATACTACTATGTATATATAGGTATATACTATTTTACACAGCCCTATGAAGTTTTATACTGGATACAATCATAGACGCAGCTTTGAGTTATATTTATCCGAGATTACGACACTACTACAGACACAGTTCTTTACTGGTCTCAAACTCTTCTCACACAGCCATAGACATTAAAATATCTCACTCATATCTCGCATACAAAAATTCTGCAGCTCATTTTAATTCCGAACTTTTCTCATAGCGCCACAGACCGCGTTCCTATCTGCGACTAATCGTCAGATCTAAATTCCGCCGAGTATAGAAATCGTCTGGTTTAAACAGGACCACATAATCTCCCAGCGATTGCCTATTAGATGGAAACGGAAGAATTAACGATGGAATCCGGAGCCATCGTCAAAATCGTAACTTGCAGGAAAACGTAAATAACGAAGGGAATCCTATGCGACGGAGTTTATCGCCGAACTAATGTTATAAAGATTGCCAAGTTAATAACAGCGACGTTATTTCCTGTGTGCGGACTATGATTGATAGTGTTACGCGCTGGGGTTCGGGATAAATAAAACTTCACCAAAGTACAACTTAAAACTGTATTCAACACTTAGAACACTTAAACACTTTAAAACTCTCAATTCGCTTGTTCCACTTCGCTTCAGGTGATCCGTTCGCTGTTTCGCTTCGGGTAGTTCCGATTACTGATTGACCGCATGCCATCTTTATAACGCTTTTATAGCCGATAATTCATCCCTAGAATTATCTAGAATATTCCACACATCTCTAGTAGTAGTTCCCGCTATCTGACAATAGATGGCGTTGTACTTCTCGAGCGCTCTGGGTACTACTAGATCTTTCGACATTTGTTCGACTATTCGGCGATAGATGGCCTTTCTCTTACCGGCGTAACAATAGTATTGTTATTTAGACTTGCCGAAGCCACTTCGCGTCGACTTGTAGAATTAAACTTATGTTTTGGATCAGTTTTGTAACTGCCGTAAAAACCGAATAATTGCACACACAATCAAGCTATTTTCCCAGTAATATTTCAGGACAATTGTATCTTTAGTATTTCTGAAAATTCAGAGCACAATTAGCTGCTTATTGCAGTATTTTCAACCAAGAAAGGTAAAGAATCTTCAGTGAAATCATTACAAAAAGTTTTTATCTAAGATTATTTATTTAATATAAAGATTATAATTACCTTAATAGCAAAATACTCTCCAAAAAAATCGGTTGTCTGTAAAGTCGGTTTACTGACGATAGTTGAACGTGACAACGTCATGAGAAAATACTGATGGAATGGGTTCATTTTTTAATTATCGCAATTATCGTTGCTGTAAACAATTGACACCACATTCACTTTTCACTGAACTTCATACTTGACGAAAACATGTAAATGTATTATTGTATAGCAGCTGTCCACGCGGATGCATCGCTCACTCAAGTAGGAGAGAGACAGATGTCGAACGCTGCAGAACGCGGAGGCCGATTGCCTGCCTCTTTGTCGATCGTTGTGCGCTCTCGCTTGCCCTTCAAGCCTTAAATGGAACGCCTCAGAGCAAGGTAACGCCACAAGAGTCATGTTTTTTCGTGCGTGCAGCCGGCTCCATCGAATTACAAGACGTTGTCATG